CAATTAGAATTTCCTGTGAGCAATTAGAACTTTCCTGTGATCAATTGTTTTATACTTTATATACAGACATTTCAACATGCTTCAACACTTGAATCATCATTTAGCAGGAAATGATTTCTCACTTACATTTACAGAATTTTTCTCACATCTCAGAATTTTTCCATTTGTTTTAATGTCTTGCATCTAAATTCCTGTACATATTTTCTTAACAATGCAACATTAGTTTTTGCTATTTCACCTATACTGTTGATTGAACCGAACTCAATTTAATGGAAACTTTTAATTCAATTTAACAAAACCTTATGAGGAAGTTTGACTATTTTACTTAAAATAAATTATCTCTGTTAAATTAAATTAAACATTACATTTACACAACTTTTAAAAAATTTCAATTTTAAATTATTAAATACATAAATATAATATTTACAATAATTATAATCCAAGTAATTTAAAGAATTTTGAGAATTTGAAAAATGAGAGATTCCTATAGCAATGCAAAATGTATTCATTTGTGGGACTAAGAATGCATGTTAGATAGTTTGAATTTTAATATAATTGTAATTTTAATGTAATATTCATCTTTCACTGTATGATGGAATAATATTTCTCAAATGAACTGTACATGTACAAAAAAGATTCATTGCACAGATAGCAGAAATGAATCTCTTTGAAAATATATACAGGAAATCCTCGTTAATTTGAACTCAGATAGTTCAAAATCCCATTAGTTTGTAACTGTACTTCTGTCCTGGCCAAGAATATAGAGATTTACATGTTAACTCTTTATACCACGTTCGCACCAAGCATTTCGATCTAGATTGTGACTAAGGTTGGAGACCGTTCCGTGGTGTGAACACTCTCGACCGTTTCAATCTCGACTGAAACAAGGTTCAATCACGATCGACTGGAGAGAGTTCTCGAAACTAGATCCAGTCATAAGAGAGATCCCACAATCCCACGTGTGCGAGAAAATACAGGATGGCTGTGGAACACGTGTTGGGCTATCAACAGAGAAATAAAAAAGACATCTGGAGACGACAACTGACATCATTATTATATGTATGGCAAGAAAAAGTATTTATTTCTAACCAAAACTTCCATTTTGTTTGTTGGTGTTTGTGACTTACCGCGTAGTTATGTCAGTTTTATGATCGCGTGTAATAGCCAGGTTCTTCTCAAGCGGACTGCCTGTGTGAACAGCACAACGTTTGACTAGCGACAATCACAATCCAGATTGTAGGTAAATCGAGATTGAAGTGAGTCGTGGATTGTGTGCGAACGTAGTATTAAGCTCTGAAAACTCACTCTTTCTCTTTTGTTAATGACTAATTTGTTTTTATCCTCAGGCTACAAGGGGAACTTGTATAGCAAAACTGGTCTAACCACTTTTCAAGTGGCCAATTTCATTTTTAACACATAAGGCCAAATTTGACTGAGTTTGTATTTAAAGAATTAATGGCTATAGATTTTCATGGAATTGCTTTTTGGTGGCTCTTGCCTGATAAAACCAATGTGACTGACAAAATATATGACGACTTTATTAAGAACTATATTGAAGAATAGAAAAGTAAAAACATCATACTATGTCCCATTATTGTTCATGACAATGCCAGATCCCAAACTGCTAAATTGGTTCAGGGTTATTTCATAGATGACAGAATTTCACTTTGGATTCAACCTATTTACCTGGGGCCATTTTCTGGTCACTTATCTTTCGTCTCTTCTTTCATAAACGAATGACATCAAAACGAAAGATGAAATTCATCTCTCAAAGACAGAGGTGACTCTGGTTGTTCATAACAATCTCGTCTTTACTGTTGACATCATGATTCTACTAGGTTGATTATACATGTTTGGGTAATCTGTGCATGCAACATATCACAGAATTTTAACCAATGAAATAGTAAAATTCTCAAAAGTAAAGAGTACAACATTATAGATCACATGGAAAGGAAAGCATGTAATTTTGACAAACATATATTTTTTGTTTTATAACACTTTTACAGATTGTAATGTCAAATTGTCTCTTAACAAATAAAAATTTTAATAACCTAAATTAAAAAAGCATACATACTTAGTTAAGGAGAAACTAGATGGTAATATTTTGGAAAATACTTAGAGAGACAAATAAGATAAACATCATATTCAATACTTCAGTAATTGATGTACGATCATTAAAAAAAATGGAATCAGTGGCATTTCCGAGTAGGCACTGGAAAAAAAATCAGAAGTATCATCTCTCTCAAATTTTCTTTTCTGAGATAATGAATGTTCTCTAATGCAATTGTACAGTACGAGTAGCATCCAGTCGTCCATTTTGGATATAAGAAAATTGAGGCAACAGATGAAAGACTGGTTGAAAGACAGCTCATCTCTGGGAGATGAGAGAATCTTTGAGAGAAAAAGTTGTCCAGAATCATGTTTGGAGTGATGCAATGATCTCTCAAGACACAAACGATTAGCCAATCAGCAACTGGTTTTTGATGTAGACACTATCTCTCAGAGACAAGAGACAATGACCAGAATACAGCCCCTGGTCTTCAGCCTTTTGATTTCAACTACTTTAGACCTCTAAAAGCTGCCATAAAGGGTATTTGATATCAAAATTGGGATGAGTCAAAACTGCATTGAATAACATGATCCAGCATGGTGGCCGTTATCATGGTGTTAAAACTCTGCCAGAGTGATGGGAAACAATTCAATGCACTAGAGCAGGGGTCACCAAACTACGGCCTGTGGGCTGGATCAGGCCTGAGAGATCAGTTCATAAGGCCCATCACTGTACTGTGCCACAAATCAGCTAAAATATAATTATTTATATGGAAATATCATAGATTGTAGATAAACTTACTGTAGAAAACTTGAAATTATTGAACCAATTTTTGGCATTTTACTTAAAATCTGAATTTTGCATCTGACAGTAATATAATTTTTAGATAAATCAGTGAAATAAAAAATTTGGCAATTTTTTGCAACTTTGGATATTGGAGCGCTTTTTGTATGGTACCTGCAATGAAGTTTAATTTAAAAAAAAGCAATTATGAACTTGCTGCAGTGATCTTGTTTGTGTATTGGTAAACAAATATGTTGGTTGTCTTTAGTTTTTGTGTATTCAGTGTGCTATATTGAACATAATGATTATGCGGCCTGCGCTTGTCATTCTCAGTTATCTGGCCTGGTGTGAAAAAAGTTTGGTGATCTATGCACTAGAGGAAAAGTACAGAGTGATCATAATTTTTAATTTCATTTTGAAACCCCCTATAAAATGAAAAACTACTGGACCAAATGTTTCCAAACCTGGAAATAATATAAAAGAGGTCATGGGATTTCATAACCTACAAAAAAATAATTAGTTCAAAAAGTCACCACCAGGGGAAATATGGCACTTTATGGAATTTGCATAAACACCCCAGTGTTTATGCAAATTCATATTGTGCATCAAATGGTTTTACTGCTATAAAACTGAATTTTGGCAGAGCTTTCAGTTGTTGCAAGTCAGCAATGCCTTTATTTTTGAAAGACCATGCTCCACTCATGAAATGCTACCATCAATGTGATAGCAATGAACAGAGCGCATTGAAACAATATTGAGCCTTAAGAGGATTATGAACAGAACCAATTACTGCTCTGGGTTTGAAGAAATTAATGATAAAATTTGAAGCTACAGACAGGTGTGTTATCCATCATACCTCGACAGGAAACGAAGCCTGTTCTTGTAGAAACTCAGGAATCTGTTGCATGTAAAGCAATCATGGAAAGTGCACACAGGAGCTACAGCATACATGCCATTTCAAAGCATATGGAACTGCCATTCAGTACTGTATGTAAAATCATTTGTAAAATGCTACATTACTACCCTTACAAAATCAGATGTGTTTAGCAACTTCAACCTGCTGATCCTGTTCAAAGAGATGCTTTTGCATTACAATACCTTGCATGAATGAAGATTGAAAATGCTTGTTCATAGAACATCTTATGAACAGATGAGGCCAAATTTCACCTAAATGGAGCTGTCAACTCATATAACAGCAGGATTTGGTCACAAGAAAAGTGTACTGTTATTCATCAAATTCCACTGTGTTTACCTAAATTCACTGTAAGTGGGTTTATCGCTAGTGTCAAAATTGGACCATTCTTATTTGAAGAACAATCTGTGGCAGGACTCATCACATGCTCCATAACTGCTGCTCACTATGAATCCATGTTAAGACGTTTCATGGTACCCTATCTTCAACAGCATGGCATCTTGGGCAGCAAGATTTTCATGCACAATAGGGCTCCATCTCATATTGATACATGTGAAAAATAGGCAACATTTTATGGACAATAGGGTTATTGGTTGACACTTTCCTGTTTCATGGTCACCTCAGTCACCAGACCTCAATCCACTTAACTTTTGGTTATAGGGGTTATCTCAAAAGCACAGTTTATTGCAACAACATAAAGACATTTGTTGGAACTGAAAGACACAATTCAGTGGCATATTCGTAACATTCCAGCTGATATGCTCAAGCTACTGTGAAGAGTGCAATATTGCTCTTTAACCTGATTGCAGGAAATGGTGGAAAGCACATTGAACATGTACTGCCATGACTGTAAAATGTGTTATGATGGAAAGGAATAAAACAATATTTCCCCTGGTGGTGACTTTTTGAACTAATTATTTTTTGCAAGATACAAAATCCCACGACCTTTTATAATATTTCCAGGTTTGGAAACATTTGGGTCCAGTAGTTTTTCATTTTATAGGGGGGTTCAAAATGAAACTTCAATTATGATCACAGGGTGATCATAACTGAAGTTTTACTTTGAACCCCCCTATTCAATTATTGTAAAATTTCAATATGTTTGGCCATGCACATTTTTTTTATTTCAATAAAACTATTGATCACTTTGCTCTGGTCATCCTGATGTTTATTCAGTCATAACTACAAACTTGGATTCTTAATTTTGATTGAACTCTAATAATTAAAATGATATACTATAAATAATTTTCTTACCTTCATGGATGTGACCAAAAACATGATATTTTGGTTTTATTCTATTTTGAACAGTCTGTAATAACTCAACACATCCCACTCTTCTTCCAAGTATACAAAGATCTCCATGACCAACTGGTGGAGTATGTGTAATTAAAACATCTACACCAGATGGAATCATGTTCCACTTTTCCAGACATTCTTTTCCGCGTGGTAGATTAAAAGCCCAATTATTATATTCTGGCTGCCTAAAATGAAAGAATTCTCCGTTGATACCTAAGAAACAAATTGTTTGGCATTAACGAACCTACCATGGAGTGCCATAGATTTTAATATTATATACTTCTGTCAAACTGTCTTCTAAATATATACAATTTGTTAGCAGATTCTTGAAGTATGCAGTGTCTAATGGAACATCTTGTCCAGTTGCTTTTTTTGCCTGTTTAATTTCAAAACTGCTAATAGTCTTTTGATCAAATGTCAGTTCATGATTTCCAGCAATGACTATTTTATGTTTATGGCTGAGATTACCTAAATTATGAAGTAATCCAATTATATATCATACATATAAATATGACAATATTAGAATAATTTTAAACTCACCTAAAAAATTATTGAATTCAATGATTTCATTATATCCTCCATGTCTAGTGAAATCTCCTGCATGTATAAATACATCACCTGGTGGAATTTTAAATTTTCTTCTTGATAGCAGAGAATGAGTATCAGACATACAGACAAAACGAATGGCTTTATGAGAGATAGGCAGATCTATGGGTAAATGCTTTATTCTGTATGCAGTTTGCTTTGGTTTAAAAGATTCCCATGCTGCTGAAGGATTTTTAGTCAAAGGATGAACCTTGATCTCATTTTCTGAAGTCATTCTAAAAAACTGTTTCCTGCAACAATTCAAGAAACCGGCTTAACTTATATTGTGAAAACTGTTTAAAAATTGACTTAAACTGTTAATCCTCATTTTACGTACCAGAACCATTTATGGTGTGATCATGTAAAAACATCGATAAACAAACGTTTTTGAACCCCATCTGGGCTCTGCTTCAGGTTCCAAACAGTTTCTAGATAGATGTTTGATATCCGTTCGGTCAACATGTCGTTTAAAGTTTGAGTTCGAATCGTAAGTTCGAATGGATTTATACAAATAAAGTTGCGCATGTGCAACCAGTTCACCCGTTCATGTATGACAGGTGAATTAGAGCATGTTGTGAATTAACTCTTGCCAGGCCAATGACAACAGCATCTCCTCTTTAAAATTTATGCACGTGTTGGTGGTGGAGGATTTAATTACAGTCGACCCCCCTATAACACGGTAGATACGTTCCGTTCTTTATGAATCGATTTTGTACAAGTCCTTGCCAATCAAAGCCCGGCACATATGCACTTTACAGACTACGGCTGTTTGAAAGGTTTCTCTTCCATAAAATTAATTGATTCCTAGACTAATTCGACTCAACATTTCCAAAATACGTATATTTTTTTGGGAATAATCCGTATAAACTATGCTATAAACAAAAAATTGTAGGATTGCTTATAGAGTGTGCACCGTTCAACGTCGCCATTGCTTAAGCTNCCGATAAAACACACCTGGTAGCAGGACTCTACCTAAAAAGTGTGTAATAAACCTTTACGGCCCCCGAACCCCACACAAAATTCTGGTAAAGACATGCTCTTCAAAAGGAAGAAAGCCTTTAAAGAAAAACCGAGAAAGATGAGAAGAAAAAGAATTTCTAGGAAGAATTATAACATTAGAAAAGCAGTTATAATTATAAGAATTAGTCAAGTATTTGTTTCTTTCACTATTTAAATTCAGCTAAGATACGAAGGAAGTATTGCAGCACAAGCATTCTTACAGAAGAGAAATGAGATGTTTAATTTGTTCATTGGAAGAAGAGATCTCAAAGATAATAGAAAACTTTATAAATCAAGGCTAGACCTAGGATTCCTGCTGCACCAACAAGTTGAATGTTGGTACCCTTCACAATACAGTATAGAATTATTTTCTTATTTTTCTCACTGAAAAAAAATAATTTATTCTACTTAATTTATTAATTTTCTCATTTTTTTACATTTGTATTTTGGAAAGTCTTATTGTCTCAGATATGACAGACGTCAAGTGCTAGGGAGTGTCAGTGCCTTTGGTTAGCCATCTATTATGATATTTTGTTTTTATTGCCAAATATAAAGCATTAGTAAAAATAACTATCATTCAGATAAATAAGCATACTGATTTATAACAAGAAGCAAACATTTTTTCCCCTATTAAACAAACAAAAAAAAAAAAAAGATTTAGTCAAATCTGACCATTTGACCATCCTCAGCAATCATTATTAACGTTTAACAATTTAGAATGATATAGGAACAGAGTTCATATATTAAATGAATAAATTAAAATATTTTTTGTACTACTTTTTGTTTTACTTTTCTAAAAATTATATAAAATTCAAATATAATATCAAAATTTTATTTCATACAGAAACAGAAATCAATAATCATATGAAATTAACAATATTTGGTTATGAGTCTTCTATATTAATATACAGTAGAATTCACTTTAAGACTCGCCTAAACTAATATTTCATAAACAACTGATGAGGGAAATGAATAAAATAATGATTAGTGTTAATTTGGCTTTATTTATTGACTTTGACGTTAAAATATGAAGACATAATAATTATAAAAAGTTAACATTTTACAAACAAACAATTCATTATCTTTGTTTGCTACTTCCTTTAACAACAGCTTGTGTAAAATTAAAGAAAGAAATGCCAGCAATTTATAATGATTTCATGTTATCAACTATATATTGAGCCAATAGTGTGAAGACCACTTAAAAAATGCCTAATTACTTGAAGATAAGAATGATTAACCTGCCATTACTCGAGGGTGAGCACTGTGCTCACCTTTCATTTTAAAATGCTTGTAACTCTGGCCACAAAACTTCCAAGAAGCCAAACTCTTGTGTACCTTTCTACCTGAGAATCCCCTTCAACAAGATACCAGAATCAGAAATAATAGTCATCGTTGATACTTTCAGTGCTGCCTTTGTTTGTCATGTTGGACAAGTTTGGATTACTCTCAGGTGAGTGCTACACTGTGTCTTTATTTGAAGTGGTACTATTCTAATTGTGATGTGTTGTAATACATCACAATTATAGTATGGTATATAGTACAAAATGTATGGTATATACATATTATCATAAAATGTGATAAAATAGCTTGATGAGGAGTCTGAGGAAGAAAATGTAGGCTCCTTCCTTGCAAAGAGAGTGAGGATCTATGTATGAAAATCCTGGAATTATTGAGAAAGAAACGAGATCCTCCATAGGCAACATCAGTATCAAGAGAAAAGTGTGCATATTGCCCAAAAAAGAAAAACAGCATCCAAGAGCATAACATGTAGTCTATTGCATCGATCTACAGACATCACATAACAATCTGCAAACAATACAATTTTAAAAATCCAGACTAAACAGATTCAGAACTTGAATAGAAATTATAATTAAGTTTACAGATTGATAAAAACAGAAATATGATATTTAAAATTATTGTTAGATATCAATTTTCTGTTTCTATATTGAAATTACTTTTAATGTATTCTAACTGAAGTAAAGTAAAATAAAATAAACATTAAGATCAGGAAGTTTTGTTATGAATAATACACATTTTAATGAATTGTCTTGAGAAATTTTACTAATATGAAAATATGTAGGGTGAGCACAGCACTCACCCTCGAGTAACAGCATTACAAATCTGACTGCAAGGAGTGCTGGGTTAATGATAATTGGAGTTTTATAAGTATATTTTTTGTAAATTTACAACTGAGAGCCAGATTTATATGCATTTAAAATTACAATATATGCACATGCATACATGCATGATAAAATGTCTGAAATATGATTATGCATGTTAAGAGCACCAGCAATATACACTAAAATTTGTAGGTTAAAATTCAATGTACGTACTTGCACTACACACAAAATCTAGCAAGAAACTACAAAACTACATAAAAACAGATGTTTTCACCTGTGTTAAAAGGCTAAAAGACCTTTGCAGTTTGAATGCAGCTGTTAAAACAAACAGAAAATTACTCTGGATAGATGATTGTTGTCTATGTACTAAGAGGGGTGATATGAGAGAAAGGGAGGGGAGAGGGTTGCAAGACTTAACTTTGTAGAACAGCTTCCATGCAAGGAGAAGGAGTCTCCTTCTCTAAAGGGGATAGAAATTTACAAAACTGCAAGAAAAAAATGTGGCTAATTGTTCTATATGTTAAAAAGTTCAGGACAGCAAGTCTATTGTATGTGACAGCTTTATACTTTGGGTGCAATTTAAAAAATTTATAACTTTATTAGTATTTGTGATAGAAAAAATCTGTAAAAAGTATTAGAAAGCTTAATGTACTGTACCATACCTAGTCTTAAGTAAAATTATTTAGTAACTTTAATATATATTGTTATTTAGTAACTCTTCAACACAATAATTTAACAATTTTTCTAAACTTTAGAGAACTACAAAACTGTATTACCCTTTGTATTATTAATGATGGTGGATATGTGGAAACTTAATAAAATACAATAACACAATACAAAAATACACTGAAGTGCCAAAAGTCATGGGATAGCAATATGCAAAGATACAGATGGCAGTAGTATCGCATACCAAATGTATAAATGGGCAGTGCATTGGCGGACTGTCATTTGTCTGCCAGTGATTCGTGTGAACAGGTTTCTGACTCGAGTATGGCTACATGACAAGAATTAACAGACTTTGAACATGGAATGGTAGTTAGTCCTAGATGACTGGAAAACCATGGCGTGGTCCGATGAGTTGCGATTTCAGTTAGTAAGAGCTGATGGTAGAGTTTGAGTGTGGTACAGACCCCATGAAGCCATGGACCCAAGTTGTCAACAAGGCACTATGCAAGCTGGTGGTGGCTCCATAATGGTGTGGGGTGTGTTTACATGGCATGGACTGGATCCTCTGGTCCAACTGAACCAAACAATGACAGGAAATGGTTATGTTCAGCTACTTGGAGACCACATGCAGCCATTCATGGACTTCATGTATCCAAACAAGGATGGCATCTTTATGGATGACAATGTGCCATGTCACTGGGCCATAACTGTTTGCGAATGGTTTGAGGAACATTCTGGACAATTCCAACGAATGATTTGGCCACCTAGATCACCCAACATGAACCCATGTATGGGACATAATCAAGAGGTCTATTTGTGCACAAACTCCTGCACCGGCAACACCTGCCCAATTATGGATGGCTATAGAGGCAGCATGGCGAAATATTTCTCCAGGGGAGTTTCAACGACTTGTTGAGTCCATGCCATGTCGAGCAAAAGGAGGTCCAACAAGATATTAGGCAGTATCGCATGACTTTTGGGCACTTCAATGTATATATATATATATACACTGTAGATTTTCTTATTTCCAATACATTCTATTAGTATTTGTGATAGAGAAATTATGTAGTTATAAATTTTTTAAATTGAACATGGACTTTATAGACACCCTGTATATGGTGTTGCAGTATTTATTTTTAAATGTGAGAAAATCTGATTAACATCTATTATATCACACTTTTTATGTGGGAGAGTATAAACATATGACAATAGATAACAATGGATTTGAAAATTGACATCACAAAACATATTTTATAATAATGTTACACACAGATATGCATTGAAGTCAATTACAAATAAAATTACCAGGTTGTTCAATAAGTTTTGTCGTTCGATAAGAGGTGGCGCTACTAGGAGCGTCACTTTATTATTCTATAAATAGTACTACTATTTCATAAACACGTGTCAAGTTTCAAGTAGATCCGTCAACTCATTGTATATTTGCAGCTGTTCAAAGTCGACGTGTCATTGTATTTTTTTACGATGGAAAAAATCGAATATCGTGCAGTGATAAAATTCTTATTTTTGGAAGGTGTAGCACCAAAACAAATTCATGAACGATTGTTAAAANGTAATAATTTTCCAAAGATTTTTTTTAGAAATAATATATTACAGATTTACATATTAAATGCAGAAAATTTAATTTTAAAATGTAAATTTACATCATATGTTTATAAATCATGCAATGTATTTTGTTTTTTTACTTTGTCAATGTAAAAAGCAGCTTTGAAAAGTTAAAAAAAAGATGGCGGCCGGATGGCCGAGCGGTTAAGGTGGCAGCCTACCGCTCTGGGGGACCCGGGTTCGAATCCGAACGGGTCGAAAAATCCCGAGGAATTTTTCGGGGTGGTCCGTTCGGATATGTCGGGCCCCGTCCCTCACCACCCGGCAGCCCCATTGTGGGCCTGGCCGAACCCATAATGGGCTTGCAAAAAGAGGCCCTCTTAATGCCCACAGGGCGGAAAGAGTTAAAAAAAAGAAGTTAAAAAAGATGAGATTTTCATATTTGAATACAAAAACATCTAATGATAGAAACGGTAGATATGATCCGTTTTATATAAATTCTGTGTTTTACGATCACTTAAATACATGAGCCAATCACAGCTCGGCACGTGTGCAGTTTAGGGACTACGGGCTGTTTGAAAGGTTTTCTTCCATAAAATTAATCGATTCTAGACCAATTTGACTCAACATTTCCAAAACACGTATAATTTTGTGGGAATAAATCATATAAACTATGCTATAAACAAAAAATTGTAGGATTACTTACCGAGTGTGCATCGTTCAACGATGCACACTCGGTAAGTAATCCTACAATTTTAAGTAATTTTTAAGTAATCCTACAATATTTTTATCATTGTTTAAGCTTGTTTTCGTCGTGGAGCGGGCGCGTTTCCTGATAAATTATTTTTCTGCGAAAAATTTGCTGAACTTTGGAGACATTTATATAAATATAATTTTTATGGCCGTTAAATAATAAATGGTTTTTAGTAGGTCTTCTGCTTGTTTAAACTGAACGGTTTGTGCAATATCCGCTATTCGTCTAGATTCGACCAATCCTGTCGCGACACGAGTCGGAGATAATGTTTTATCGTATTTTACGAGTCTTTTTTAGCGTGTTTATACGAATACGGTCGCAGTTTTTTCTCCGTTATATACGAATCCGCATTATATGAACCCGTTTTATAGGGGTCTACTGTATTACATGTGCATTTTATTTTTAATCTGGCCCGCTGTCATACTCGAAATACAATATTGGCACTTAAGGAGTTTGATACTTCTGTTTTAGACCCTTCGGTGTGCTACGGCCTTGCAGCCTAAAAACTGCACGCCAACGTCAAACGTAATAGGTACGTATGCCGTTCAGAGGATCCTACCTTTCTCTACTGTCTCTCCTCTCCCCCTTCTCTTATTCTCCGGCTAAACACCTTGTGTACAGCCGATGTCTTTCATGTATGTATGTATGGATTTCTGTATAACTTTGTTGTTGATTAGTCATCTGTAAGATTACAGCGGTACCTCAGGATACGAAATTAATCCGTTCCGAAACAGATCGTATCATGAAAATGTCGTAAGGTGAATCATTTTTCCCCATACGATTACATGTAAAACCAAATAATTCATTCCAACACGACAACACACTCAAATTAAAGCTAAGTAATACATTTAAAAAAAATAACAACAACTATAGTAAGGAAAACACTGAAAAATGCGTTTTGTAGTTGTAAATGTATAAATAACTGTAATAGAATAATAATTGATAAAAAAAAATGTAGTTTTATTTGCACTTTACCTTTGAGGATAGACGACGGTGGAGGTGTAAACTGGTGGTGGAAAAGAGGGAGAAGGGAAATGATACTAAAACTTAACTTACNGACATTCTTTTCCGCGTGGTAGATTAAAAGCCCAATTATTATATTCTGGCTGCCTAAAATGAAAGAATTCTCCGTTGATACCTAAGAAACAAATTGTTTGGCATTAACGAACCTACCATGGAGTGCCATAGATTTTAATATTATATACTTCTGTCAAACTGTCTTCTAAATATATACAATTTGTTAGCAGATTCTTGAAGTATGCAGTGTCTAATGGAACATCTTGTCCAGTTGCTTTTTTTGCCTGTTTAATTTCAAAACTGCTAATAGTCTTTTGATCAAATGTCAGTTCATGATTTCCAGCAATGACTATTTTATGTTTATGGCTGAGATTACCTAAATTATGAAGTAATCCAATTATATATCATACATATAAATATGACAATATTAGAATAATTTTAAACTCACCTAAAAAATTATTGAATTCAATGATTTCATTATATCCTCCATGTCTAGTGAAATCTCCTGCATGTATAAATACATCACCTGGTGGAATTTTAAATTTTCTTCTTGATAGCAGAGAATGAGTATCAGACATACAGACAAAACGAATGGCTTTATGAGAGATAGGCAGATCTATGGGTAAATGCTTTATTCTGTATGCAGTTTGCTTTGGTTTAAAAGATTCCCATGCTGCTGAAGGATTTTTAGTCAAAGGATGAACCTTGATCTCATTTTCTGAAGTCATTCTAAAAAACTGTTTCCTGCAACAATTCAAGAAACCGGCTTAACTTATATTGTGAAAACTGTTTAAAAATTGACTTAAACTGTTAATCCTCATTTTACGTACCAGAACCATTTATGGTGTGATCATGTAAAAACATCGATAAACAAACGTTTTTGAACCCCATCTGGGCTCTGCTTCAGGTTCCAAACAGTTTCTAGATAGATGTTTGATATCCGTTCGGTCAACATGTCGTTTAAAGTTTGAGTTCGAATCGTAAGTTCGAATGGATTTATACAAATAAAGTTGCGCATGTGCAACCAGTTCACCCGTTCATGTATGACAGGTGAATTAGAGCATGTTGTGAATTAACTCTTGCCAGGCCAATGACAACAGCATCTCCTCTTTAAAATTTATGCACGTGTTGGTGGTGGAGGATTTAATTACAGTCGACCCCCCTATAACACGGTAGATACGTTCCGTTCTTTATGAATCGATTTTGTACAAGTCCTTGCCAATCAAAGCCCGGCACATATGCACTTTACAGACTACGGCTGTTTGAAAGGTTTCTCTTCCATAAAATTAATTGATTCCTAGACTAATTCGACTCAACATTTCCAAAATACGTATATTTTTTTGGGAATAATCCGTATAAACTATGCTATAAACAAAAAATTGTAGGATTGCTTATAGAGTGTGCACCGTTCAACGTCGCCATTGCTTAAGCTTGTTTTCATTGTGGAGCAGTGCACCAAACGGCGGCCGCGATTTCTGACAAGTTATTTTTCTGCGAAAACTTCGTTGAACTTTGGAGACACCATTAATATAAATATGGCTGTTGAATAAGAAATGTTTCTTTCACAAGAAATGTATAAAATTAGTGCTGTATTAGACTTACGGTACCTAATTTACATACTGTACAGACGATAGTAAACTCAACTTACTTGCCTAAACTTTCCGTAGCCTGGCACTGGATGGCAGAAAGTATATATATAATTATAATGAAGTTACAATAAATTAAGTTAATATATAATTATATATACAGTACCTAATTTATATATAATTAATATGTAATTATATGTACAGTACCTAATTTATATATAATACTGTACAGACGATAGTAAACTCAATTTATCCGCCTAAACTCTCTGTAGCGTGGCACTGGATGGCGGAAAGTAGTTCAGCTGCTCTTCCACTATTGGTCCAGGTTCGACCAATCCTGTCGCGACACGAGTCGGCGATGACGTTTTACGAGTCCCTTTTAGCGTCTTTATACGAATACTGTCGCAATTTTTTCGCCACGTTATAGGAATCTCCGTTATAGGAACCTGCGTTATAGGGGGGTCTACTGTAGTTTTATGCACAACCTGTAGCTTAGCTTCTGTTTTTAGAAATGGAGAAATTCATAAATGCAACAATAAACAGTCCTTGCTCGTTCATGCATAAAAGTAAGCATTGCATGAAGCTGACAGTTCTTTTTAGTATTGTCCTGTATCGCTTATTAGGAGACACTTGTTGACTTCCCACTTTTGGACAACTTATTTTTTAAATAAGTTGTCCAAAAGTGGGAAGTCAACAAGTGTCTCCTAATAAGTGATACAGGACAATTTGGACAACTTATTTTTCAATTAATAAGTTGTCCAAACTTAACTTTATTAATTTAATTTTCTATTCATTCATAATATTTTGAAAAAATTACTGTTTGTGGCAAATTCGCATTTTCGCATACCTTTAGTTTACAAAGCAATTTCTCTCTACAATGCTGTGATACGCTGCTTGTAAGGTTTCATTTTCTTTCTTAAAATCAAATGTTTGCAGAAATTGTCAAGTGGATTTGCATTCAATGTTCGATTTCAATACTTTAAACAATATTTTAAGCATTACATAAATTTACTGTATGCCTAATTGGTTAAACTGTCCTTCCCTAAGAAGCGATTTAATTTCGAGCTGTCTTGAAACAGAATATTTGTTTTATAGAACTATGTCGTCTGTCATTTGGAAAATTAGACTTATGTGCATATTTTTCTAAGAAATCATTACATCTGAACTTGCAGAAATACTCGTAACTTGTTATAATATTTTCTGTAAATAAATTAACGTTATTTATTTGAATCAAGAGTAATCCACTATTTTATGCCTGGTCGTTTTAATTTGGAGGATAAATTTCTGAATTATATACAGTATGTACTGGTACATTAAGGTATATTTTAAAATTAACTTTAAGTAAGTACACAGATTATAACTTACAATTTATTCAATTATTTCGTAAAATTTTTCGCAAATAGATTAAAATCGTAATTGTAATATAACTTGTTTTCTTTCTTGATATAATTACTGTAATATATCAAGAACGGCAGTTGAGTAATAACGAATATAAAATACTGGATTTAACAGTCACCAAGAAATAAAGTTCTGACACGAGTAAAACCTTTTCCTTATGCAGAAAATTAATACATCTTTTTTCATACGAGTTTTAAAAAATTGTTTAACTTATGAAATAAACTAACTGTTTTGATTAGTTTGCATTGTAACTCGGCATCTTGGAATGAAGAGTTCACCCCTGTTCGCAAATTTCATCACCAATATTCTGCACGCAATTAAGTTCAATACAGTAAACTCTTCTATATTCGAAATACTTACATTTTCCTTCCAAATGTTTTACGCTTTTCAACACTCTGCTAAAGATGGTCCACAAAGCAAAGAATACTACTAAAAGGACAGCAATCAATATCAGTAGATAAGGACAGAGGATTGCTTGAAGAATACATATACCGTAAACAAGAAAACATCCCTAAAATTAAAGAATATAAATTGCTAATAAAGTTAAAATTTAGATTTATAAGTAAACTGATTCTACCATTCATTTAAAAGTGACATCTCTTTGTTACGTAATACATACAGGTGTCTCATAGGACTGGAATCATAGTTTTTATGTACATATCTGTTTTTTAGCACTGGCATAGAGATTAATAAAAAAATTAATTTCAATAATTTTTATGGTAAAAATTCGCCATCAGTGAGATGTTGGAAAATTGTTTTGTTTTCTTATATTTTTTGAGGTGTGTATGTTATTTTTTAAGAAATTTTTCCTGTATTTTGTAACAATAAATAAAGAAATTAAGAGTGTGACTAGCTGTATCCAGACCAGAGTATCTTTATTTAAAGGCCTAGCCTAGACACAATGCGCTAAATCTTCAACAACTCACTCATTGCGAGTTTTGGCGATGAAAATTATTCTAAAATCTGAATAATAATTAGTTTTTTCTTGTTAGTCTCCATGTTCTTTCTGAAAGAATAGACAATGATCAATATAATTCCTATGGTGCCAGACTCACGATAGATCCTATGTTGTATTTCTTTTACGAAATATATGAGTCGATCTGTTATGAGTGTGTTCTGAAGTGAGTTCGAAAAAAATGAATTTACTTCTCATCTTATTTATTAAATTACATAAATCTGTTAAGAAAACTCTTTTGCAAAAGTGTATATTCAGTAGAGCATCGATTATCCGACGCCCGATTAACCGTCACATCGGTTAACCGACCATTCTAGTCGGCAAATTTCAAATGTCCGCTAGTGATGTAGCACTACAATATTTGGCTATGTCTTGGCTACTTTAATATTATTTTTGTTAAATTTTTGCGTGTTTTAGCTGNTAGAGCAGCGATTCCCAACCTGTGGTACGCGTACCCCTAGGGGTACGCGATAGGTTGTTTAGGGGTACAGAAAAAAGTTAGTTATTATGGCAGAAAAAATAATATATTATGTATCACAAACTAATAGTATTAAAAAATTATTAGATAAAAAATGTTCCTTGCAACAATCACAACTTTATTATACATTTTTTCTTTTAGGTTTTTTTTCTTTAATTTAAAGTTACAATATGTAAAATTAACAATACACGGGGTTACTCACTAAATTTCTTAAATGAGGGGTACAATCTAGAGATATGACATGTCACGGGGTACAATCTAGAGATATGACATGTCACGGGGTACGCTAATGAAAAAAGGTTGGGAACCACTGCACTAGAGGGGTTTTTACGTGAGAAAGGCTTCTCTGTGGAGTTTTGGTTCAGCATGAATGATAGTGCAGAGTCTGAAATTAGTATAGTTAGTTCTCTGGTGTTTGATCGTGTGGGATACTTACCATCTCAGGAGATTTGTTGCTTCTGGAGCATTCTTGCGAATTTCCCAGGTAGGAGTGTTGTACACAGGTCTAATTCGCCATGGATACTACCCAAGGCACAGGGGCATCATCACCTCCACGTGGCTGTCTCAGGCCTCCTTCCCACAGAACTACGCTACTTAGCTCAAATATTGGAATTAGAGAAACTCTGGTCTTTTTGCCAGACCCCCCTATGGACTCTACTTACATAGTTTTCCTGGAGGGACAGGGCCCATTACGCCGACTCCGTCCGGCTGAATTACACGCGGAACTTAAATGCAATTTCCTTGGTCGGACAAGCTATTGGATGTTCAATACTCTAGAAGCTGGCTTTTGCTTCTCAAGACAGGGGACCCCTCCACCGCGGACTCGGCTCTCATCATAACGACACTCGAGGGATCCCATTACAGGACCGTCTAGCCCTGGACTGCATATCTCCTGTGAGGAATGGATATCTCAATAACTGCAACAGAAATTTATGAACTGTTAACGGCTGCTGAGCTACCCATAATAGAGGTTCGTTGTTTCACACGGAAAGACCACAATAAGACTATTCCGAGCACGACGGGTATACTTCTCAGTTGCCAGCACATTGTCATTAGAGACGGATAAGCTCTACTATCAATGCTTTAGATGCGAATGCTTTCTTCTGAAACCCAGAATTTGTGGTAACTGCCTGGCTTTTGGCCAAGTGCCGGCTTTTTGCTGCGGTCATTGACGTTGTAAAAATTGTGGCATGGATCACAACTCCGAGGGGTGTACAGTTCCGGCAGACATCTGCATATGATGTGGGGGAGAACATCAGGTGGACTCATCTCATTGTCCAGCGTATCTAAAGGAGATGCGCCTGCTCAAGTTGAGTGTAACCCATCG